CTTAACATAAAATCAACAAAAGTTTAGTGGAATTAATACACTAATTTAAAATTTTTTATTTGCATTAATATGGGTTAAGTTCTTTATTATACCAAGCAATTTATTCTAAGCTATACCAAAAAGATGAATCATTCTTTGTCTCACTGAAATCAAATCCACTGTGGAAAATCAAAATAAAAGATGAAGAATACATCTTCGAGAGCTTCTCTAAAACCTTCAAAATCCCTTTTTTTTTTTCTTGGAAACCAAACAGGATAGGAAAAGAGGAAGGACTAGGAGACAATACCGAGAAGACAAAGCGTTCTCTGATGAGAGATGCGTGAGTGCACAGCTCGTTGGACTCGAGAGAGAAGCCTACGGAGGAGTAGAGACTAGCCAAGTCGCAAAGAGCGGAAACCAATTAGAGATCTAACGCCGTCGTTTTGCCAGAGTCATTAGGGACTTGGAGTTGGAAATTAGGTTCTCTAGGAAGGAGATAGTGCCTTACGGTTTTCCTGTTGCCACCAGATCCTGCACCGCCTCGCTCTAATTCACTGCTTCTTCCCCTTTCTCCATATTCGATTCTCCCTCTTGGATTTTGATTTTCCCTAGTTAAAGTTGCTTTGCTAAAGCGTCCAACAAAGCATCATTCTCAGCAAAAACAAATCTAGGTTAGATGCAGGGTGATGAGTAGAACATTAAGTTTTAACGAATTGATGATGTCATGTTACACAGGGGGATTAATTTGCCACCGGAGATGAGTTTAGGGGTTTTTTTGCACGTGAACTGACTTGAGGGGTTAATCTGTCACTGCACGACGAGTTAAGGGGTTAATCCGCATGTTTTGCTATCAATAAATTTTGAAATTAAAAATTTATATTGAAGGCAACCATCTTATGTCTTTTATCTCACTCTACCTGCATATTATGTGATTTGAACTCAATATATCTTACTTCCAATGAAACAAGATGATAAAAAAAAATTTATACTGAAAGACAATTTTATTTGTTAGCAGCACTTCTCAACCACTTTTTATTTTATCCTTTTAGTATTTTCTCAACCATTTGAATATTTTCTTTAAAAATAATAATAAAAGAGACTAAATTTATTGCACTAAAATTTAGAATCAATAACTAATATAAATTAGGTAATTTAAATTATTAAAAAATAAATTTTATATTATTTAATAATTATTTAACAAACATGTGTAGTTAGTTTTGATTGTGTTGAATTGCATTATATTAATTATTAGATAAGATTAAGTCCTTTAATGTTAAAGGCCTTCCTTAATTAATGATTCATATTTAATTATTTGGTACAATTTACAATATAAAATAAGATTCTTATTATTTAATAATAATAATTTTTTTATTGAGATTTAAAATAATATATATTAATATATTTAATGATATAATTTCTACCATATTATTAATATAAAATTTTGTTCCTAAATTCCTAACCTCCATGTCACAACTCTTTTTTAAAGAAAATACGATTGTCGAAGAAAATAGAGGTGGACGGCCCAGAAAAGAAACGAGGTGAGTTCGTGGACTGTTGTTGGTTTGATGATTGAAGATGACTACATCCTCTTCTTCTTAAGAGATACCACCACATATGAATTCTACTCCAGGAAATGGAAAATGATTTAAGAGTTACCTTTTTTATATCTTTATAATTTTATATATTATTTAAATAATTAAACTATTTATTTACTTAAATCTGATAA